GCTGCAAATCTCTCCTCTAATAATGAAATTATATTATAACTAACACAGCTTTAGGACTGGTTTGTGTGACCACCTAGTTTAACAACGTTATCACAACTCTATTACTTCTATTTCTCCACCATTGTGATACTGGTTTGTGATTGTGTAGTTAATTCATTGTTAGTGGTTTACATCTCTTCTTGTCTTTGGTCTGTAAAGATGAAGTAAACAGAAATGTGATTCATTTTTATTCTATAGCATAATGACATTTAGCTAGATTTCACTACTTTGTGTTTTTAAATACCACACATTTCAACTGAAATATTTCTATTTTCTTAGAATTGCTTGATAAATGTCTTTCCTGTTTTCTTTCATAACTCTTTCTTTCCCTCCCTCCTTTCCTCCCTTCTTTTCTTTTCTTTCTTTCTTTCCTTCTTTCCTTTTCTATCTTCTTTTTGTGCCAGTACTGGGGCTTGAACTCAGAGCCTTGCACTCACTCATGCTTGGTTTTTTCATTCAAGGCTGGTACTTTACCACATGAGTTACACCTCCACTTCCAATTGGAAGTAAGTGTCCCTTGTAGTTATCTATCCAGGCTAGCTTTGAGTTACAACCTTCAGATCTCAGCCTTCTTACAGTTGAGGACCACTAGTACCTGGCTTCCTATTTTCTTTTAGGGAACCACAACTGAATTGTTGGACCGCCAATGAAAATAGATAGAACTCTGAACTAGTTCTATAGAAAATCTTGCTTGTTATTTTATATCTGCACAATATACCACATGGAGTCTGGCTATATATTAGTAGCGTGTGGCTCTTTCCTCAGGTAATCTCATAGGATTCTCAGTTCCTAATCGTAAGAGCCTGACTTGATCAAGCATTCATCAAGTGCTTATTGCACACCTAGTATGTGCCAAGCACCATGCAGGTACTGGAGGATAGTGCAATAAGTAAGACTACTACTCATACAGAGATAATAGTCTAGTAGAAAAGGGAGAAGCAAATAATAAGAAAATAAACAAACAAATGATTATTCACGGTAAGTGTGTTAGAGCAAAGTTAAGTCAGAATAAAGAAATAGTGAGTATACAAGAGTTTCAAATTTAAGGTAACACAGGGAAAGATTTCCTAATAAACCATCTAATCTTAAGTATGCCTTGCTCATATACAAAGGCAAGTATAACTATAGCACCTTGCTACCCAAGCTAGTAAGCACATACAAATAGAAGCAGCAAACACAATTACAACAGATTTTACTTAAGAACAGAGATCAAAACAACCCTTAAAAAGAAAAAAAAAGAGTAGGCTGTGCTGAAATAACTCAGTTGGAAGAGCAATTAAAATTGATGAAAAAAATAGATGTCCAAACTCAACTATTATGCCAAGATAAACAGTGTTATGATAAGATCATCATATCAGAAAAATGTATCTGTGTAATCCTCCATATTGAAGAATTTAAGAAAAATGTCACATTATTATCTCAAAAAATACTGAAGAAATGTGATAAAATTCAATACCAATATATGATAAAAGTAATCTATAGATTCCACTAAGCAGAGATTTTCTTTTAAACAAGATCAAGATACATACAAGGTGCTGAAGGTGATGTTTGGATTCCGCATGCAGTACTTTTTTTTATCTCCCCTCCCTCCCCCTGCCCCACTAGTCAAGGGGCTTGAACTCAGGGCCTGGCCACTGTCTCTGAGCCTTTTTTTGCTCAAGGCTAGTGCTCTAATACTTGAGCTTCAGTGCCACTTCCAGCTTTTTCTGAGTAGTTTGGGGAGAGAAGAGTCTCATGGACTTTTCTGCCTGGGCTGGCTTCAAATTGCAATCCTCAGATCTCAGCCTTCTGAGTAGCTAGGATTATGGGCATGAGCCACCGGTGCCTGGCTTCAGTACATATTTTTTTTTGAATAGACAGATGAATGAAGGAATGAAGGAATGAACAATTAGAATCATTTAGGCTAAGAAGGACCAAAAGCTTACTGTAAACTCTCTTCCAAAAACACTCCTTGTCACATTGGACCATGAAAGAGCACCCCCTCTGGACAGTGCTCAAAGGCACCCTAAGTGCAGTGGGCAAGAACAGGCGTGAAGATAGCCTTGGGAAGCAGAGACACCATACAAAAGCAAGACCAGTGTTCTGGCAAAACTGCTGGAAGATGGCGTTGGGAAGCAGAGATATACCATACAAAAGCAAGACCAGTGTTCTGGCAAAACTGCTGGAAGATGGCGTTGGGAAGCAGAGATACACCGTACAAAAGCAAGACCAGTGTTCTGGCAAAACTGCTGGAATCACATTTCTGGGCACCAAATACACTACATTCCTCTTTCAAAGCAGTACTTTTGAGAAAAAGTAACTAAACACAAAAAAGGCTTAGAACAAAGGCTAAAATTAGATACTCTAGGAAACCACTGGACAAAGAAATGAAGAAGTTTGAAATGATATCAAAGAAAAACTGAGTAAGTAGAGATTTATGCTATGTTCATGGATGTGATAAAAGAATGGAAGAGAGAAAGGGAAGGAAGGAAGGAAGGAAGAAAGGAAGGAAGGAAGGAAGGAAGGAAGGAAGGAAGGAAGGAAGGAAGGAAGGAAGGAAGTGGGGCTGGGAAGGTGGCTCAGTGGTGGAGTGCTTGCCTTGCATGCCTGAGGCCCTGGGTTCGATTCCTCAGCACCACATAAGCAAAATGAAAAAAGCCAAAAGTGGCGCTGTGGCTCAAGTGGCAGAGGCTAGCCTTGAGCTGAAGAGCTGAAGGACAGCGCCCAGGCCCAGAGTTCAGGCCCCATGACCGGACCCCAAAAAAAATAAATAAAGGAAGGAAGGCAGGCAGGCAGGAAGAAAGGAAGAAAGGAAGGCAGGAAGGAAAGAAGGAAGGAAGGAGAGAGGGAATGAAAGAAGGAGAAAGAAAAAGAAGAGAGAAAGAACCAAAAAAAAAAGAAGAGAGAAAGAAGAAAGTAAGGTAGAGAGAGAAAAAAAGAAAGGAAGGAAGGAACAAACAAATGAAGGAAGGAAAAACAAAAGAAAAACACGAGAAGTTAAATTTATTGGGAGTACCTGACAAGCTGCTTATGATATGTAATTAAAGAATTGAAAAATCAGATCATGAGATATCCCTCTACTCTTTACTCCCATAGATTAGCAAAACTAGGGAAACACTACCAAGGAAAAGCAAGGATTTGGGTCCTCTGATAGTCTACTATGTGCTCCTGAATGGGCTAGATCGTTTTTTTAAAATGCAAGTGCAAACCCTAGTGAAACTGAATGTATGCCTTTCCTCTGACCAAATCTCCACTGCTGCTGACACCTGCCCAAAGACACACCCCAAGTACAGACAGAAAGGTGCAGCAAGGTCTGCGGGAGACTCCCTTAGACTCCCTTCGCTAGAGAGCTCATAAGTGATAAGTATCAAGTGCATACAATGGGCCTCTGGCACCCCACCCAGGTAATGAGCCCCTACGCAGAAAGCACAGGGAGGCATCTCCAAAACATTTTATCCTCAGGGGAAAAAAAAAAAAAGAATAAAATGAAAGAGGATTTGTAGAACAACATGATCTTTGCAAATTTCTGAAAGGTACAAACACAGAAACATACATTTTGGGAGTGTGTGTGTGTGTGTGTGTGTGTGTGTGTGTGTGTGTGTGTGTGTTCATTAGATGAACTGGAAGAAGTGGTCACACTGATTCTATTCCAGCTTTGGGGAAGTGGTTGCCTTGGTGGGGATGGAAGAGGACCTATGCAGAGAGAACTGTTCCCAGAGCACCAAGAGCTGAGGTATGCAGGCACCTGGTAGGAACCTCTGAATTCTATCAGGTAACTCTGCTATCCCCACCTCCTACACACAAAGTTAAACTGTATTTAAGTCCAACCAAACACCATTATTTAAATAACTACTTATTTTATGTTGTTTTCATTTTATAAGAGGCTTGAAAAAGGAACACTGGAATTTACTTAATGGTAAGGGTGATTTAATTGTGCTTACTAAATATAGCAATTATTGGGCTAGACAAATATATTTATTAATCAGAAAATGTACAGTGTAGCCAAATGCACAGAATTGTTCAGCGACATTAAATTTCCAACTCAATACCATTTGATATTAGCTCTCCTAGTTGGAAGAAAAGAGTAATTAGTGTGTGTGGGGGGGGGTTGCTTATTACTCATAACATTTTATAGCCCACAAATAAAAAATTCAGAAACTCAACCTTTTGGAAATATTTGTGATAAATATTAGAAGCCCCGGAGTCTGTCAAACTTTGTCCACTGTGAATGTATTGTGAAAATGTTCTTTTTATTGCTTTTGCCTTCATAGTTCTAGACAGCTTTTTTCTTATTGGTTTTTATTTTCCTGGTTCTCTATAGTCTTCTTTTTTCTTTCACATTTAGGTTTCAGTTTCAACTGAAGGTGCTTTAAAATATGATATGAATAGCCAGGCACTGGTGGATCATGTCTGTAATCCTAGCTAGTCAGGAGGCTGAGATTTGAGGCCCACCGTTTGAAGCCCAGCCCAATCAGGAAAGTACATGAGACTCTTATCTCCAATTAATCACAGGAAAAGCTAGAAGTGGAATGGTAGCTCAAGTAGCAGAAAGCTAGCTTTCACTATACAAGTTCAGGGACAGTGCCTAGGCCCTAAGTTCAATCCCCATAACCAGAAAAAAAAAGATAGAGGTGAGATAAGGACCTAACTTTTTTTTAGGTTCCCATGTAGTAAATTGAAATTTCTGTATTTATTTATCTTACAGAACATAAAAGTCAAGGCTTTTAGCCTTGGGCCATGATAATCTTCAAAATTTTATTACTCCCATGGGGTACTGACCACGGCTATCTGTCCCCAAGCACTGTGCATAAGGCTTGGGTCCTCTGTCTGTCCCTAGCAGACTCTTGCAGGTGGGGAAAGCAGTATGGTAGTTATCCCATGAATATCTATTAAGCAGACACAGTTAAAAGTAGAGATGACAATAACAAAAGCACAACCAAGTAGGTATTGGCTCTTTAGAAGGCCCTGCCCCCCTGCCTTACCGTGCCTTCGGGGTCCACCAGTAGCAGGTGCTTGGCCTGGCCATTGTGCATGCCAGTGAGGACAAAGGAGCCAGGATTCGTAGTGCTCTTCCTGACTAGGAAGTCTCCATCTTTCTCCAGTAGCCCCTCGGCCTCCTTCCTGCTCATCTCTCCCTGGTACCAAGGCTCAGCATCCAACTCCTCCAGCATCTTGGCATCTGGAGCTCTGGGTGAGACAGGGCTGATGCACTCCACAGAGGCTGCCTTGCTCAACACTGGTCCCAGGGACTGGTTCTTGAGAGCGTCTTCAAAAGGTTCTGCCAACAACATTTTCCAGCAATGAGTCAAACTCAAGAATGAATGATAAAAATACAGTGTGAACGCTGAAAATGCAAGCACAACTCCTCAAGAAAGGGGGACTAGAGAAAAAGAACTAGCAGTTAATATCACAAGACGCATTCTAACAAGCATTTAAAGCACAGCCCAGATTTTAACATGGCTTTCTCCAGTGAGTCTGGAAAGTCTCTCCAGCTGAGAATGGTACTGTGTGATGTGGCTTTCAGCACAGTCTTTAAAAAGGTAGAATGACACATTTCAAAAAGCTATAGATAGGGCTGGGAAGGTGGCTCAGTGGTAGAGTGCTTGCCTTGCATGCATGAGGCCCTGGGTTCGATTCCTCAGCACCACATAAAAAGAAAAAGACGGGTGTTGTGGCTCAAGTGGTAAAGTGCTAGCCTTGAGCTGAAGAGCTGAGGGATAGCACCCAGGCCCAGAATTCAGGTCCCATGACCGGCAAAAAAAAAAACCAAAAAAGTATAGATATTTCACACCATCTACTTCCCTGGCCCATTTGTCAACCTCCTTAATGAAGTTTTATTCAGATAAAACTTGCCAATAACAAAAGAAAAGAAAAGCCACAGGCTTTGACTTCATGTAAAAAACCTAAGGCCAATCTACCAACAGTTTGTCTCAAAATCTTTGAGTGCCTCTAATGTGACTTTTTCCATCTCTTAACCTCCAAATGTAATTTTTTCCAAAGGGAAAAGCAAGGCTTTATCCCTATTGAAACACACTTTTCACTCTAATAGACCTATGCCTGGCAAGATTGCTGCTCTAACAGCAATAAATACTAGTGGCAAAAGAAGTAGCCAGGCACATCTAATTCGATTTCAATGCTTAATTTTCCAGTATGGTGGTATGGACAAAAGCCTTGAAAAGCCCACTCAGTGACACACAACTGTGAAGTATGACTGGTTGCGCTGGTTATTTAGGAACACATGACATAACCCCTAAAGACAACACCACAGAGCAGGAATGGGTTTCTCCTGGCACAGATACCATTGTTTCTAGGACACAAGTTTGTCCTCTGTAAGTACTTGATGGATGCTTTAAAATAAACCCCATTTGGGAAATATTAGTAGAGGATGGAAAGAAGAAGAAAGAATACATGAAACCAATTAGATCTATTTGACAACTGTTACATCTTTTACAGATGTTAGATCTTTTACAGAAAGGAAGGTTAAAATTATTGATATATGTGGGCTTTTCTTAACCTTTTCTTTTTATCTGATTACATGGATAGGCTGAAAACGTGTATTGCACATCACCACTGTCAGCAACACCCCTATTGTTCTCAGATTGTTTCTATCAGTATCATCAACATTACCATCATCATCACCATCACCATCATCTTCAAAATCAACCAGCACCAGGGTCACCATTACTATCACTACCATCATCACCTCTAGCATCATCATCATCATCCATCACCATCTTGCCACTGCTACTATCATTTAGCAGTATCAATACAAAAGAAACAATAGAATGCTGGCTTTATTGTCACACCTCTTTGTGGACATCAACTTCACTAAGCCATTGCTACTTTTTGTTTTTTTTTTGTCTGGTTTTCGGAGAAGGAGTAGAAATTCATTGATGGAAAGAGGATGGCTCTGGTTCTCAATTTTTTCCAACCTCACACCCATCTCACGCTCCTCAGCCTTTGAGGTGAGAAGTAAATTGATGAAATTAAACCATAAAAATAGACTGCTTGGAAGTACAACATTGAATACTACAGAAACTGAGACTGGGGCTGGAGAGCAAGGGCTTTACTTTGTAGCTTGAGAAAGTGGCTTCACCATTCTTGGACAGTTTCCACTGTGTGTGTGTGTGTGTGTGTGTGTGTGTGTGTGTGTGTGTGTGTACTGGGGCTTGAAATCAGGGCTTTATGCTCTCACTCAGCTTTTGCATTCACAGCTGGCACTCTACCACTCTAGCCACACCTCCACTTCAGCTCTTGGCTGGTTATTTGGAGTTAAGACTCTCAGGGACTTTCCTGCCAGGACTGGCTTCAAACTGAAATCCTCAGATCTCAGTTGACTGAGTAACTAGGATTACAGGCATGAGCCACTGGCAGCTGGCTTTTTTCATCTGAAGGACTAGACTGAGGGCTCTGTTAGCTATCTCCAAGCACTGAAACTCAAAGAGTTTTTTGGGTTCAGGTGGAAGTCCAGTGTGTTAGGGAAGCCACATGGCTAAGAGAAAGCCCAGTATGGGGTCATGATGCTGTCTGTTCTATGAACACAGGGCCCTGTCATCACCACACACATCACCACAAATGGCAAGAATTGGAGCAACAAGGCTGCCTTTCATGGGAAGTTACCTAACTTCTAGGATTCTCCACTTCCTCTTACACTACAAAAAGGTAAAAAGTAATCATAAAATCTACCTGCAGGGTGATAGATAAAATGAAATAAAATAGTAAGGGCCCAACACATGTAGAAAATCACTCAACATTATTGGTCTTTCGGGTAGTAGGAAAGAGAGAGAATCAGAACAAAAAAGAGGAGAAAAGTGAGAGAGAATGTAGGGACACAGAAACAAGAGAGAGAAAGTACATGTGTGGGAGAAATGCATTGTGATTTCTTGATCCTGTCTTGGTCTTGCTTGATAGACTGAGACCTATGTCAATACAGGCCATTTCATCCTTGCATTGTTAGTAAATAATACAATAATTAGCACCTCATGGCCAATTAATATTTAAGTGAGTAGATAAATGAATGCATTTATTTGTGTATGTCATTTGTTTCAACACATTAGCAAGTTTTCAAGAGCAATTCCAAAATGCAGGGAAAACTGGTTCTGTCTCTTGACTACAAGAGAGGGTTTGTAATCTCAAAACTTTCAATGAGACCAATTAGAGCCCAGAAAAACACAGTTAAATCATAGGCATTAAGAAAAACCCTGACCTTGCCCATGTAATGGTAACTCCTCTGTACGGTATTTTCACAATAATTTAAAAAAAGAAAGAAAAACCCTGCTAGCTGAAATTTCAGTAATTGCACTTTTAAAAAAAAGGCATTTTTTTTTAATTTCTGAAAAGAACGAAAGGATAGACAAATAGAAACCTACTCATGTCAAAGAGATCCTTCCGTGGGCTGCTCTCTGCACTGCTGGCTGCGGCTGGCAGGGCCTGTGCTGGGATGTGCTGGGTGTTGATGTAGGTGGGTGCTTCTCCCATGGGGGCCATATTGGCTTTCCCTTCTGGCATGCTGTAAATGTCCAAGGACCCTGCAATTAAAAAAAGAATTGAGCACTTTTTTTTCTTTGAGAATGGCAAGAGGACTGTAATACCACTTGTGTGTCTGTAACTGGCCTACCCAGCATTCCATGCAGGGGAGCTTGAACCAACCAATAAGAATATGGCTCCTGGATGTGCCCTCTACCTAAGTTGTCTTCTTTTAGTCTTCAATGTTGGGGTCAACACCAAGATGCTTCAGGGGAAATGGCTCAACTCCTCTTTTACAAAACCAAATCAGATCAAATGACTGAGCAGAACCACAGTCTTCTAACGACACTCAAGTGTCACTGGATGCTTTATGAATTATAAAGTGTCCCCCAATGGAAGGAGACACCTTCACTACAAACAGCCACTGCTGCTGATGTCATGGGTCTAAGGAGGAAACTTGGGCTGAGTGCATAATAATACCTCCTCTGAGGTAGCAACGCTGTTCCCATGGGACATCCTGGGGGGCAAAACAGGTGTTGAGCTGGGCCTAGAGGTTCAGGCTATTCTGTCACCCAGAGGTGGCTTTAGAGGCACTGATCAAGAGCATTGTCCTGGATTTCTCTTCCGGGTATGTGTCTGTCTTCACAAATGTGTCCGCAAGAATGCCCTGGGCAGTCTCCTTTCTGCATCTGCCCTAGGTTATTAATACTTTTGGTGTCTTCTTTTTAAGCTAGCATTAGTTATAAAGGGAAAGGTTGTATTTGTTACATTCCTGCACAATTACAATGCATTCTCATCAACCTCATCACTCCATAACCTTCCCTCTCCTTGACCCTCTTCTCTTCTCCCTCCCCCCCCCCAAATTCATCACATTCACTGTTCTATTTTCTAGTTGCAAATGATCTATTCAACCATATTCAACCTCCTTCATCCTCCTTTTCAGCTCAGCCTCCTCTCACTGGTGTCCTCCTCCCACAAAGCTGATTTCTTTTTAAAGTTATATTTCCATTATATTGAGCTAGTTGTCAAAGAAGTTATCATTCAACAAATCCCTTTAAAAGTACAACGCATCTTACTGTCACCCCTTTCAGCATTCTCTCCCCTGCTGTCTCCTCCCTCTGTTCTCTTAGTTTCAAAGGACATGCTTTGAATATTATGAATGCATTCTCCTCCTCCCTTCCTCTCTTCATTCCTCCCCTCCTCTCCCTTTGACCTCCCCCAAACACCTTTCAAGTGCCAATTTCCTGGTTTTCATTTTGTTGGACTGTGAACTAGTTTCTCTAAGGAATTACACATCTATCTAAGGAATTCCCTCTGCTTGCAAATGGTACTTCAGTCAATTCATTTGTGTACACTTGCATATAACCCCATATGTGTTTATTTGAATACTTATTTTTTTAAAAAATTATTGTAAAGGTGACATACAGAGGGATTACAGTTACATAAGTCAGGTAATGAGTATATTTCTTTTTGAACAGTGTTACCTCTTCCCTAATTTTCCCAGATTTTACACACCCAACCCCCTCCCCAAGTTGTACAGGTCATTTCCAACATAATGCCTAGTGAGTGGCACTGCTGAATTGGTTCACCCTTTGTCCCACCTTTTTTGTGCTTTCCCTTCCACTCCCCAAACCAGATAAACTTATATACAAGACAAAGAGTACAGAAATCAAAAACAGTGACAAAACGGGATACACCAAAGAAAAAAGTAAAAACCAAAACAAAAATGTGCAAGCAGAACAATAAAAAAACCTCTTGTTTCCATTTCTCAGAGTTCATTTTGATAAGCCTCATTTTGTATGATCATATGCACATAGCTATTGAGCCCTTGTGATCCTCTCCTAAGAATATTCTCCTTTGTTCTCACTGTGTGAATATTTATAGTGCTGTTAAATTAATCTACTTATTTGTCTTTTACTATCCATTGAGTTTACTTGTAGATTTATAATTATCAATTGTAATTATTGCAAATGAGGGAAACTATGCAGCCGATGTTTCTTTGGATCTGGCTTACTTTACTTAATGTAACTTTTTCCAAGTCTTTCCATTTTCTTACAAATGGGGCATTGCCATTCTTTCTGATGGAAGCATAAAATTCTATTGTGTATATATACCACAATTTCTTGATCCACTGGTCCACTGGGGGACATCTGGGTTGATTCCATATCTTAGCTATGGTAAACAATGCTGCAATGAAAATGGCCATTCTGGTGACTTTAGTATGGCCTTGTTTGTGGTCATTTGGGTAAATGCCCAAGAGTGGGATTGCTGGGTCATAAGGAAGCTCTATATTTAGTTTTTTGAGGAACCTCCATACTACTTTCCAGAGTGGTTGAACAAGTTTGCATTCCCACCAACAGTGTAGTAGCGTTCCCTTTGGCCACATCCTACCAGTTTTTGTTCCTTTTCTTGATAATGGCCATTCTAACTCAGGTGAGGTGAAATCTCAATGTTGTTTTGATTTGCATTGTTCAACATGTGTCTTCATGTCTCTTCATGTCTATTGGCCATTATTATTTCTTCTTCAGAAAAGTCTCTAACCCACTTATTAATGGGGTCATTGTTTCTTTGAGGATTTGTTTTGGGGGGGGGGTAATTTTTTGAGCTCTAAGCGTATTTTAGATATGAGGCTCTTCTTCTCTGATGCATAGTTACTAAAGATCTCCCATTCTGTGGGTTTTCTATTTATTTTGCTAGCTATGTCCTTTGCCAGATAGAAACTCTTCAGTTTCATGCAATCCCATTTATCCAGTCTTTCTTTGATTTGTTGTGATTCTAAATCTTTACTTTGGAAATTTCGACCTGTGCCAAAGAGCTCTAGTGTTTCCCCTATCCTTTCCTGTAATACTTTCAGGGTTATCTGGTCTTACACTGAAGTCTTTGATCCATTTGGAACTGATTCTGGTGCAGGGTGATATATAAGGATCTAACATGTTTTCTTCATGTATATAGCCAATCCTGCCAGCACCATTTGTTGAATAGGCTTTCTTCCATCCTGTGTTTTTGGCTCCCTTATCAAATATTAGGTGGCTATAGGTCTGTACTTATACATTTATAAATTAGTTCTAGCTTCCACAGATGAGAGAAAACATGTATCTTTTGTCTCTCTGGGCCTGACTTACTTCACTTACTATATTTTCTTTTAGGTCTATCCATTTCTTTGCAAATGGATGAGTACAATTTCATTGTGTATATACACCACATTTTCTTGATCCTTTCATCCATGGAGGAGCATGTAGGCTGTTTCTATACCTTGGCTATGGTGAATAGTGCTGCAATGAATATGGTTGTGCAAGTGGCTTTGCTGTTACCTGATTTGTAATCTTTTAGATAAATGTCCCAGAGCAGTATCACTGGATTATAGGGGTAGTTCTATGCTTAGTTGCTTTTTAGGAATTTCCAAACTTCTTTTCAGAGTGGTTGAACAAGGTTATATTTCCACTAACAGTGTACTAGGGTTCCTTCTCCCACATATCCTAGCCAGCACGTTGTTGTTTGTATTCTTTTTTTTTTTAATTTAATTTTATTTTATTTGTGAACATACTGTACAGAGGGGTTACAATTACATGGGCAGGATAATGCGTACATTTCTTACCAAGCATTGCAGCCTCCTCCTTTGGTTTACCCTTCACATTGTTGTTTGTATTCTTAATGATGGCTATTTTAACTGAGGTGAGATGGAATCTCAATGTTGTTTGATCTGCATTTCCTTTATGGCCAAGGAGGTTCAGCATTTCTTCATATGTCTATTTGCCATTTTTACTCCTGAGAAGTCTTTACTTAGCTCATTTATTAATTGAGTAAGAGAGCATTGTCTGATGTACAGATGGCAAAGCTCTTCTTCCATTCTGTAGACTTTTTAGCATGTTAGCTATGTCCTTTGCCATACAGAAACGTCTTAGTTTGATACAATTCAATTTATCAATTTTTTCTTTGATTTGCTAAATGCCAGGAACTTTATTCAGAAAGTTCCTGCCTGAACCAAGAAGTTCTAATGTTTTTCCTACTCCTTCTTGTAGTAGTTTCATGGTCTCAGGTCTTATATTGAAGACCTGGATCCATTTTGAATTGATGTTAGTACTGATAGAGACTAAGTTTCAGTTTTCTGCATGTGGCCATCCAGTTTTCCCATGTTTTGGGCTTCCTTATCAAATATTAGATGACTGTGGGTCTGAGGTTCTTCTGTTCCATTGGTCCTTGAGTATATTTTTGGGTCAGTACTAAGCTGCTTTCATTACTATGGCTCACAGATTCTACTCTTTTCTCACCTCCATCTCCTTTTTAGCCAACAGCTTTTATGGGTTTCTTTATGCTGTTTTCATATACATTTGCACTGTGTTATATAGTCATTCTAGATACTTTATTGTTGTCTTAGTACAGATGACAGAGTTAGTTCAAGACTTTTTTTTTTCTTTTTGTGGCAAAGTCTTGCTATGTAGCCCCAATAGGCCTAGAACTCAGTAGATAGCACATTCTTGTCTCAAATTTACCTTTCTCTCCTGAATACTGGGATTACCAGTGAGTACCACTGTAAATGGGTAAGAATATGGTATCATGCTAACAATACTTTACTAGGAAGTCTCACCTCAAAAAGCCTAAACCTACTTTTGCTCTTTTCTCTACTGTTTAAGATGCTGCTTCTGGATAACCTATACTTGCTTAGAAACCATTACTTGTGGTTTACACAGTTGTATGTACTGCAAAGAAACAGTTTTACAACTATAACCCTAGCTATTCAAGAGGCTGAGAACTGAAGTTCTTAGCTTAAGTCAGCCTAGGTAGACAAATCTGAGACTGTTAATTCCAATTAACCAACAAAAAGCTGTAAGTGGGGGTATTGCTCAAAAAGTAGAGTTTTAGCTTTGAGCAAAAAAGACAAATGAGAGCACATGAGCATGAGGCCCCTTCACACAATATACCCCCCAAACAAACAAATAAATACAATTGAAGTTTACAAACTAATTTCAAAAAGGAAAAGATGAAGAGCTCCATCCTTTTTGTCTGTCTTTCCTAACCTTCCAATCGACCAGGACAGCAGGTGCTGAGTAGGACTGAGGGACACACATCTTGATATTATTCAAGTTTATGTTCATTTAGAAGAATATCTACTGGCAAATTTATAAAGGGTATTCTTATTTGTTCTTTGGAAAAATGTGGTTACTTTTTTTAAAAAAGAGCTTAATGGAAGTGGCGCTGTAGCTCAAGTGGTAGAGCGCTCGCCTTGAGCTGAAGAGCTGAGGGACAGCGCCCAGGCCCAGAGTTCAAGCCCCATGACCGACCAAAAAAAAAATAGAGGTTGGAGCCATGGCTCAGTTGGTACAGTGCTGGTCAATGAGCAAAAATGTTGGGTACCAAGTTTGCGTCCTGGTCTTGGACAAAAAAGAAAAAGAGCTTGAAACTTAGTGCAAGTTATGAGTATTGTGTTCTGGACAGTGAATGTGTATTAAGTTCACTCTACCTTGATTAAGCCTGTTATATTTCCTTGTTCTCTACTAGCTGGGATAACTAGAATATATATGCAAATGTTCTATTCTTAAATAAATGTAAAATATTTTACCATAAAGCAAACAGAAGAAATAATGTCTTCTTTGATCTTATAGTTATATATGTATATATCTGTGTATGTTATTTCAATACATTTTAAATAGATTATATATACCTGCATATGTTATTTCAATGCATTTTTAATAGATATAAGGCAAAGAAGACAAGTTCATAGTGAAAATGTACCTCTAGCAAAATCATAATCATTATTTGCTATTTCAATCACATTTTTGAGGCTGAGTTGTGGCTCGGGTAGCTTCAGTCAGGTCATCACATTGTATTGACTAGGTCAGCAGTATGGATCTTCTTTTCATTGGGAAAAGCTAGAAACAGAATTCTTACTTACAGGAAAAAGTGGAACAATTTATTGTCACTTGCTCCCTGGCATGAATAGTTATAATGACAAGATAGGTCTTAACACTGAACTAGTAAGTTCTTGAATTTATATTCATAAGGCAGTGAATATATCCATCTCATCCAGACCCAATGGGCTTTGTCAGACCACCTATTAAAAATAGTGATAATTCTTTTTTTTAATTTTTATTTATTTTTTATTCTGAAAATACTGTACAGAGGGGTTACAATTACATGGGCAAGATAATGAGTACATTTCTTATCAAGCATTGTAGCCTCCTCCTTTGTTTCCCCTTCCCATCCCCTCCCATCCCTTCCCATCCTCCCCCCGCCCCCCCTCACATTTCCCCCTCCCCCCCCTCACCAAAGTTGTAAAGTTCGTTTTCTACATAACGCCTTGTACTTCTCATTGTTGCAATGGGTCCACCTGTATCCTTATTTAAATGACTTGTTTTTCCCCTTCCTCTCCACAAATTATACTGACATCAAATACAGTGAAAGCAGGGGTTATACTGTGGGGGAGGGACATACAAAGCAACGAAGAAATAATCTTATAAATGCGTTAGAAACAATCGCATGAAAGAAAAAAAAGTGGTGATAATTCTTGAGGAGGTGAAAATTTAAAGGGGTCCCTAAAGGATAGATAGAGTGATGCTTGATAGACAGATAACTGGTAGATAGATTGATGTAAAAAAAATCTAGGTAGGTCAGTAGATATATGATAGATAATAGATGGATAGATGATAGATTTGTAGACAGATGATAAATAAATAGATAATATTATGGAAGGAATACATACACATGCATATTAGTAACTAGAAAGTAGAGACATGAGTAGCTCATAGTTCTTAACTGTATAGATTATCATAGTTATATTGGGGTATATCTACATTAGATACATATATAGAATACACAGTTGTATCTAAATTAGATTTGGTTACATCTAAATTCTTTTTAGGGTGTGATATAATAAGCATGTGTTATTAGATTTGCGAAGACATAGACATATCTTGTAAAAGTACACAGGGCCTGTAAGAGACCCACACTGATGGTGCTTACTGTTCTATTAATCCCAAATCTGGGCAGGAGTCTGTTTCTCCTGAGGTATGGGGAGTATAAGGAGGAGTGCATCAAGCAAAACAAGACAAGTTGCCACTGGAGCCTGGGGGGGCTCACTTTGCTGGGGAACATAGAATTTGAGTAGAAAATCCACTTCTGAGGTGCTTCTTCAGTTCCTAACTAAAACTGGGAAAGATCTTGTTGGGATATGAGCTCCTCAGCCAGTTCTGGCTAGTGAGTTGTCTGGCCAGAGGAAGTCTTTTGATGGTTATTCTCCAGGATGTTAAATGCTGGCAGGTCTCAGCTAGACCCAGCACCGCAAGAGATAATGCAGAATGTGTGCCCATGGACACCCAAAGACAGAATGCTGCCATCTGACTTCTATGGTCTAGTCAGGAATCTGTAGTGCCAATCCCAGAAAATGTTTGCAGGAGCTTTCTCTCCTACGGCACAGGAAGTGGACAAATGGCCCACCACCGGATGTGTGCATCACACGTTATAAGTGCATTGTGTGTTTCTTACCTTGCCTCTCACCTTGCCTGATGGGTGTTGGCTGCCAGTCTTCACCAAACGTATCTCCTAAGTGTCTTCCCTGGTAATAAGTTTGCTCTTTTCCTGCAAACTACAGACACAATATAGACACTTTGAAAACCATAGGAGAGCAGGTGGGATGTTGGTAGGTTAACTGCCTCCTTGGTTGCGCCTCATTTTCCCTTCATGCCTCATAGTTGCCATTAGCTATGGCTCATACCTTGCCATAGCTGGCAAGTAAGTTTGTATGGAAGAGAGAAGGATGCACCCCCATTGAAATTGTACTTGGATCCTCCTTGTTATCATGACAGCTGAATCTCTCCAAGTGCAATAATATACCGAACTTGTCCATATATAGTCACCAAAAAAGTATTTTAGCCAGTTGCCTGGACACTCATAGCTGTAATCCTAGCTACTCAGGAGGCTTAGAGCTGAAGATCATGGTTCAAAGCCAGCTCAAGTGGGAAAGTCATGAGACTATTATTTCCAGTTAATCAAAAAGTTGGAAGTGGAGCTGTGGCTCAAGTGGTAGACTGCTAGATTTGAGTGAAAAAGCTAAGGGACACGCATGCCCAGATTCAGAGTTGAAGCCTCCATACAGGCACACACCAAAAATAAAAGAAAAGAAAAGAAAGAAAGAGAGAAGGAAAGAAGAAAAAGAATTTCAATAAAAGGCATCTATCAATTATATACTACTTTCCACCCAGTCCATGCACTTACAGCCACACTTAAAAAAAGCCACTCAGAATGCAGAAAATTCCTTCTTAGTCTTAGATCCTTGATTTCATTGTTATGCTGTTATTTTTATGTATGGTATTATCATTGAATGTTTAAAAAATTGCCAGGATTGGAGGTATAGCTAAATGGTAGAGTATATACTTAACTTGCATAAGGCTCTAGGTTCAATCCCAACACCACAGAAAAGGCAAAGGAAAAGCATTCTTAAAAAATTGAGGTATAAACCGGGTGCTGGTGGCTCACGCCTATAATCTACTCAGGAGGCTGAGATCTGAGGATCGTGGTTCAAAGCCAGCCTGGGCAGGAAACTCCATGAGACTCTTATCTCCAATAAAACACAAGAAAACTGGAAGTGGCGCTGTGGCTCAAGTGGTAGAGTGCTGGCCTTGAGCTGAAGAGTTGAGGGACAGTGTCCAGGCCCAGAGTTCAAGCCCCACGACCGACAAAATATAAAAAATAAAAACAATAGAGGTATAATAATTATAGAAAGCAGTTTTAAGTTAAAGTGAAATTTGGGGATTGAAAGGGAAATGAATAAAATAAAGAAATGTATAAAATTTCTTACAATGGCCTCTATCCACTCTCCTTTTAGATAATGCAAAGCACCACAAGTCTCCTAAAACCCTTGAATTATGTCTTCCACTCATTAAGATCACAGTAAGGCTGGGCATCAATGACTCACGCCTGAAATCCTAGTTACTCAGGGGGCTGAGACATGAGGACTGTGGTTCAAAGCCAGCCAGGCAGGAAAGTCCTTGAGACTCCTATATCCGATTAACTACCAAAAAGCTGGAAATGGCATTGTGGCTCAAAGTGGTACAGCACTAGGCTTGAGCACAATAACTCAGGGACAGAACCCAGGCCCTGAGTTCAAGCTCCAGGACTGGCACGTAAAAAGAAAACTAAAAAGATCACGGTAGGCTGGTACTTGTTCTGAGACGAAGCTGACATTTGTGAGGAATCACATGATTATTCCAAAGCATTTGGCTACTGTGATGTGTTAAGCTTTGGTTTTTGATATTTTATGAAACCCAGGGAAAGAAAATTCATGAGCAATTGAATCAAAAACTAAATGGACTATCTGCCTGAAATCAAATGGACAAAAACAGGTGTCAATAAAGTTCAGTGAGCCTCTATCCTCTGAGAAAAGTATAAGACTTACCTGGGCTGTGTCAGGGGTCTGGGGTCTGGTTTTCAGTCGAGCATCAAGAAACCCTCCTGGAGGAGGCATCTTGCTGGGAATACTATTGTAGTATGGGTGGTCTGGACCCTCTCCCTCCTCTTCTGTCCATGGCTCATCCAGACTCTGCATCCTGTTAAAAGATTACCAAAGGCTTTTGGGAAACCTGGAGCTTAGAGGCAGAGACAGCAAATCAAGTCAATGCTGGCTATGGTTAGGACATGGTGCGGGTATGAAAATCTGTCACCCCAAGCTTCCAGTGTTGAAACTTTGTTTTCAGAGTGGCCGTGCTGGGAGATAGCGGGAACCTTAAGACGTCTATAGCCAGTTGAGGCCATGAACAGCTTCAGCAAGGATTGTGGGACCCTGGTTTCTCTCTGGCTTCTTGTTTCAAGAGGTGATATTCCCCTCACTCTTACACTCACACACATGCATTTTGTGATACATTCAAGAGGCCCCTGAGTAGAGCTCAGCATATGCCAGCACCAGGCCCTTGCACCTCTAAACAGGTGAGCTAAATAGACCTCTTTCTTTTATAGAGTTAGCCTGCCTTCAGTATTTTGTAACAGTATCGAAAAGGATAATTTATTGCAAAGTATTGAAGAGATAATTTAGTCACTGTTTCATCAGACATCTATGTCTTAGATATATGTGAAAAAACATGATTGTTTCAACCCAAGTCTCTGCCTTATTTAAAGTTCCAATCACTGTCATATTTGAAGCGAGGCTTTTTTAAAAGTAGATTTTAATTGAGAAAGAAATTATTTTTTGCCCAAAGGAAACTAGATCCTCAATGTGCAAAAGTGCACATTGTACTAAGTCATGAAATTAGAATAAACCAAAAACAATTTAAAAATCAATATTTCCTGAGTGATATCACAGAAAAATATCAGATTAAAAACCCCTAAATTTATGTTTATCTGAATTAGGGAAGAGAAGGGGAACAAAAGAATGGTGAGACAAAGGACAAAAGGGGAACCAGTGCAAAATGATACTCACAAGACAACATGTTGGAAATGTTCGGTACAACTTGGTGGGAGGGGGGCTGGAAGGAGGGAAAGTGGGAGAAAAATGATGGAGGGGGTAACAAGTTTGACAAGGAATGTACTTACTATCTTACTCATGTAACTGTAACCCCTGTATACATCACCTTGACAATAAAATTAAAATCTAAATTAAAAAATAAATAAATGTTTTATATGATTAAAAAAAGAATCCCTAAAAACTCTCTATTGAAAGTAGCAATAAGCTGGCCGGAGAAAAGCTTAATCAGGATTTATTTTCTCAGAAATATGGAAATTAACCAGAAACTTGTAGCAGTGTAGGGGGTGTTTCTTTGTTTGTTTGTTTTAGACCTTTAAAAACAGTACTAATGTGATTCTTCTTTTTATACTTTTATTTTTCTTCTTTTCTTCTGCTACAGGGCCTCTCCCTCTTGCTTGGATTACCCACTTAGCTGGTGCCCTAATACTAGAACCACACTTTCCATCTGTCATTTTGCTGGTTAATTGGAGATGGAGCATTACAAACTTTTCTGTCTAGGATGGATTTGCACTCCCATCCTCTGGATCTCAGTCTCCTAATAGCTAAGATTACAGGTGTGAGACACCAGCACCCTGCCCATGGTGGCATTTTAAGTTACCTTATTTCCATCTCTGTGGATGACTGTGAAAGTCAGCCACCTTCAGTCACAGTGAAAATCAGCACCCAGGAGACCACCGAAGAAACTCCATCAACACCCCATTCCCAGAGAGCTGGCATTATTCACCTATCTAATTGATCTCAGAGGACCCAACTCCCAAAGCTGCCCTTTTAAAGTTATTTAACACATAATAATTGTGCATATTTATGGGGTACAGCATGATAATTATGTGAGTGTACATATAATATATGATGAGGAATCAGACTAATTAGCATATCTTGCTCCTTAAAACAGTTATCATTTCTTTGTATTTGCCAATGTAGCCTTTACTTGACCTGATTCAGAGCTTGCTTGAAGAAGAGGAAAACTCCTCCACAGGGCACGTGTCAAAACAAATGTGGTCTACCGAAATAGTGGCTAAGTTTCAGGTCAAACAATAGATCGAACAAAAGGGTGAAAAGGAAAAGTTGGGAAATACGTTCTCTACTGGGATGCTAAGAACCTTCACATGTTTCTGAGGATCCAAAAGGCCACACAATGCATGGACTATGCTCATGGCCAGGGCAGTGTGCCTGCCCAGGTTAGATGCAGGAATGTCCTAAGTTCTCACCTCTGACTGACCTTGGAGCTCTGCATGGGCTAAAGTGAAGGCTCAGGCAACCTTGTTAACTTCCTGGCTGTGTTAGTGAAGTGTCTACACACACACACACACACACACACACACACACACACACGCATAGGTACACACACATACATGTACACATACACGCATAGCAGCAAAGACAATAAGACCTAGTGGTTTCAGACATTTAAGGAAATCTCTCTCCAATCACTGGCAATATAATATAGCTAACCAAGTGACCATCAGTGGATATGTATGACAAAAAAATTAGAAACTTTACACAATTAGTGCACAAAAGTCACTAAAACACACAATCACAAAAAACAGCAATTGAAAAGAGAATAAATGTGGTTTCCGTTGTGGCCAAGGCTTAAGGCCAGCCTAGGGGAAATGTTCACAGACTCTATCTTAACTAAGCTCTGTGGTTTGTGCCTTTTATTCCAGCTATACAGAAAGCTGAGATAAGGAGGATCACAGTTTCAGGTCAAGCCAGGCCAGGTTAAAAAAACATTATGAGAGAAGAGAGAGGGAGCAGAGAGAGTGTTAGAGAGTAATGAGATTGATCGAAATACAGTATAAACATGTGTGGCGATGTAACAATGAAATCCCCCTCATATCACTAATGAGCACTAATAAAATCTAAATTTGCAATGTGGTATATGTACACAATGGCATTCTGCTCCTCCATCTGAAAGAATGATATTGTACCATAGAAGTGGAAAGACTTGGAAAAAATTATATTAGGCAAAACAAGCCAGACCCAAAGAAACACAAGATGCACGATTTTCCTCGTTTGTGGTAACTAGAATGTGCCTACAAATTTATAAGTACACACACTGAGTGATAAAAGGAAAGAAATACACCAATAAAATTTACAGAACTCTAGACATTCACACAGTGAGATCAAAAGAGGATATTGTTAGGAGAGGATCACAAAGGCTCAATAGCTAAGTGCACATGATCATATAAACTAATATTTATTAAAATGAACTCCAAGAAATGGAAACAAGAGTTTTCTTTTTTGTTGCTGTTTTTTCTTTCTTTACCTTCTATCTTGTTTATAAGCTCATCTGTTTTGGGAGGGTAAGAGGGGCACAGAAAGGGGGGCACCAAGGGTAAACAAATGCAGCAGTGATAATCACTAGACATTATGTCAAGAATGAGCTATACAACTTGTGGGTGGGGACAGGAGGGAAAAACTGGGAGAGAGCCAGGGAAGGATGTGACATGGTTGAAAAAGAAATGTACTTATTACCTGATGCATATGCATTAAAAATCTACATTTTCTTTTTTATTGTGAAAATACTGTACAGAGGGGGTACAATTACATGGGCAAGATAATGAGTACATTTCTTATCAAGCATTGTAGCCTCCTCCTTTGTTTCCCCTTCCCATCCCTTCCCATCCTCCCCACACCCCTCGATCCAATCCTCCCCCCCCCCACCAAAGTTGTAAAGTTCATTTTTCCACATAACAACTTGTATATCTCATTGTTGCAATGGATCCACCTGTATCCCTATTTAAATGATTTGTTTTTTCCCTTCCCCTCCACAAATTATATCAACCTCAAATACAGTGAAAGCAGGGGTTATATCATGGGAGGGACATACACAGCAACAAAGAAATAATCTTATAAAATCTACATTTTCAAGTCCTTAAGTCAAGAGAAAAATCTGGGTGTGATGCTACATGCCTTTTATTCCAGCTATGGTAAGAAGCAAAAATGGGAGGACTACAGTCCAGTCTTAGGGAGAGAAGGAATGAGACCCTATCTCAGAAGCAATTGGAGTAAAGAGGGCTGAAGATATGGCTTAAGTGGGGATATCTGTCTACCAAGCTCAAAAACCCCTGTACCACGAAAAAGTAAGAGAAACAGCAAACAAATTAGACTTTCACATTCAAAAGATATTAATTAATATCAAAGGAGATAGTCATGGAGAAATAACAGGACAAAATGGCATAAAATGTATAGAAAAAATATCAAATAGCTGGGTAAGGAGCTGGGAAGGTGGCTCAGTGGTAGAGTGCTTGCCTTGTATGCATGAGGCCCTGGGTTTGATTCCTCAGCACCACATAAGTAGAAAAAGTTGGAAATGGAGCTTTGGCTCAAGTGGTAGAGTGCTAGCCTTGAGCTGAAGTGCTGAGGGACAGAGCATAGGCCCAAAGTTTAAGCCCCAAGACCAACCAAAAAAAGAAAAAAAAAGCTAGGTAATATGTGGCTTATTGTTAATAATTATCAATCCATTAAACACTCCAATTAAAAAACAGAGATTAGATTGGGCACTAATGGCTCATACCTAATCTTTACTGCTTAGGAAGCTGAAATCTGAAGATCGAGGTTTATTGACAGCCTGGGCAGACAAATCCAAAAGATTCTTATCTCCCATTAACCACCAAAAAGCCAGAAGTGGAGCTGTGGCTCAAGTGGCAGAGCACTAGCCTTGAGCAAATAAAGCTAAGGGACAGTGTCCGGGGGTCTTAATTCAAGTCTCATGACCAGAACGTAAAACAAAACAACAACAACAAAAACCAAGATATTAACATAATCAAAATATGAGAGATACACCTTACGGGAAAAAAAAGAGATGAACAGACAATTCAACAATCACACTAAGAGCTATTGACGTGAAGCTTTCAAGAATAGAACAACTGGTGGGGAAATGGGGACTTGAGCAACATAATATACCAGCCAGACCTAGAGACAGATAGAACACTCTGATCAAGAAAAGGGGATGCTTACCATCCAAGAAAGGGCCAAGATCATACGGCTTCTTACTGCATTCTAACTAATATGTAAAGGAAAATCATCAAAATTTTCTACAAGCTCTTCTAAAAACTAGTAGAGAAGACAATACCTCCAAACCAACTC